TWAAAAAAAAAAACTAAGAAAATTCATAACAAAGTTTACCACTTTAGTCCTCTTAGGTGTATAGCTGTATAAGTTTTTTGAAATTCAGGATACTTTACAACACTTCCATCACCCACCCTAATAAACCCCAGCTCCGTGGGCAGCCACTCCCCTTGCCCCACTTCTTGCTTACCATCCATGATGCAACTTTTGTCTCCATGGATTTTCCTACTGGGAGCATTTCCTACAAATGGGATCATATGAGATGTAGCCTTTTGTGTCTGGCGTCTGCCTGTCGCATTGTGTTTTCAAGGCCCTGCATGTTGTGGCATGTATCAGTACTGCATTGTTTTTATGGCTGAATAGCATTCCTTTGTATGGGTAGGTGGCCACGTTGGTTTGTACATCCATGGATGCTGTACCTTCTGGCTATTGTGAACAAGACTGCTGTGAGCACAGGTGTACATAATGTGAGCAGAATTTTTAAATTTGTCATGGGTACATGCTTAGGAGTGAGGTGTGGCTATTTTAATTCCTGTAGCACAAATATACACAAAAGTCAGGTGTATTGGATCGTCAATAAGAATTCTAGTTTTCTACTTAGTGGGTTGCTGCTCTTTCCAATCAGACTCACTTTTGGTTTAGTTGAGTATCAACAAGGGGCAACAGAAATTAAGGAAATTCCAGCAAATCCTAATATACCAATAATGTCCTTGTCAAATTGCTGATATAAATTTTGAGATGCTTAATTTTTTTTTCCCTCCTAAAGAGTGAAATTTGAGCTTTGAACACAAGGCAGTGTTTGAGTCTATTTATTAAATAAATATTGTATACATAGCAGTGTGTCAGGTGCTATGGGGTGACATTAAAGATGTATGAGATCTCAGTGTCACACTGTTACAAAGCTACTGGAGGCTTCAAGACTTAAATCTGAAAAGCAGAACTGTAAAACTTAGAAAATAGTATGAGCAAATGTCTTTATGACCTTGGGCTAAGGTGGACTTTCATAAAGGAAAAAGATACATTTGTTTACATTACAGATTAAGATAATTTATCAGAAGCATTACAAAGACAACACTGTACAGAGAACTTTTATGTAGAATCCGGTGAGTAATTTTTATAGATTTTATAAATTTTATAGAGAAAAGAAGGCAGCACAGCAGAAAAAAGGGTAGAAGATGAGAACAGGCATTTCACAGATTAGGAAAAAAAACAGCACATAAATTTGAACCCTATTAGTGATCAGAGAAATGTAAAAAGGAGATACTAGGAAACGCTGCCGTATAGACGAGAGTGCACTGTGGGCATTCCCACCAGCGGCTCGGAGGAGGCCACGTGGACTTGCACCCACTCTGGTGGTGCGTATTCGTCTCTTTGGAAAGGCCGTTAGCAGTGTGTAGATCTACACTTGCTGCCTCTGTCCCAGCAGTTCAACCATGAGGCGTGTCCCTTTGAGAACTCTTGCTCAGGTGCCCAGGAATGTTCATTGCAACACTGTTCACAAACCAGCAGAAAACCCCACATGCCCTCAGCAGCAGAGTGGACGTGTGAGTCATGGTTGGGTTTCTACTGGACAGTGAAGGTGTGATCCCAGGTGCAGGTAGGAGTGGCTCCAGACGTCCTTGCATGAGAGATGAAAGCCTCTGCAGTCATGTGGGGTTCCTTCACGTGAAGCTCAAACCAGGCAATTTACAGTTTCGTTGTTTGAGAATGGGTGTGTGGCTTGTGCAACTGTTCACAAAAATGATGACCCAGAATTCACGAGTGGCTCCTCTGCAGAGTGGTCAGGAAGGAGGCCACCCGGCTCTTGGCTGCTGGCTTTGTTATAGGCTGCTGGCTGAGTGGGCATTTCATTTTATTTTTCTTTGACCCGTGCATAATAGGTTTTACACACTTGGATGTACTTTTCAAAAAAATTATAAATTACTGGAAGATAGGTCTTAGATGCAGCTCCTGCCCTTGGGAGGCCTGAGCTCTGGTTGGAGAACCCAGATGGAAACTAGTGAGGTGGTTAACTAGCAGCAGGGCGGAGGCAGGGGGCGCTGAGAGGCCCCTGGAGGCTGTTGTCCAGAGCTGAGTGGGGCTTGGTGCTGGGCTGGTGCTTGTCATCGCTGTGGCTGGGACTGAAACAGCATGAAGGAGGGGACTCAGCAGGTTGTGGAAGGGCCTGCAGGCGGAGGAGGCCTCACGCGTGCTCTGTCATTCCCACGTCCTTCACATGTCCATTGTGGCTGCAGGCGGAGCGGCTGTCATTTGAAGGTGCAGGAATCTCTGAAGAGACTGGTTCCTGATGTGCTCCATGTGGTGTCTTAAGGGATGAGCAGGATTTTTAACCTGTCTCTAYTGCCCCAGAAGCCAGGCTGAGGGCTTCTGTCCATCCCCCTTCATCCATCCCTTTGCCCTCACGTCCCGCAGTGACAGCTCTTCGTGAAAGAGGCAACTTAACACAGATTGATGACCACACAGTTCTGGAGGTCAGAAGAAATCTGCAGTCCTCAAGTGCTGAAACCAAGGTGTCAGCAGGGGTGGCTCTTTCCAAGCTCTGCCCGTTTCAGGAGGCTGCCYGCAGTCCTTGACCAGTGCAGTGCTCTCCGTCTCCTAGTCTAGAAGGGGAGCCCGTCAAATCATGCTCTGAGCTCTCTTCTGAGGTCACGTCACTTTCTCTGTCTTGGATCTCTGCACTCTGTCTTACAAGGACGCATACGATTATGCTGGGCCCACTTGGGTGATCCAGGGGGATTTTCTCATCCCAGGTCCTTTGTCACACCCACCAAGTCCCTTTTGCCAGCTAAGGTGCATATTTGCCAGGTGTGGGGATGAAGGTGTGGATGCCTCTGGCGGCAGTTATTCCTGTCTGCACTCTGTCATTCCGTGTTGCTCTGTTTGGTTTTTCCCATCGTATTGTATTTTCTTGAAAAACATCTTGACCGGTCTGTTTAGTAGTGTTCTGCCTTCCACCCAGTCTCGTTTGTTCGAACAATTTGGTGACAACTGTGTTTCAGTCAAGACTTCCCCAAACTCCTGATTCTTGGAGGTTTTCTGTGTTATTTCATTGCCCTTCACGCTACTGCATCCGGGCAGCAGAGCTGTGGCCAGGGTAACGTTACAGCCGCAGCATGGCACCTTGAGGAGGTGACTTTGCTCCCTGCAGTTCGATCATAATTTTCTATGGCACTTTGGAACTTGTCTTGTGTCCTTTAGGTTTTTGATGACTCCAGCCCTGATGGATGTTGTGCTGAAAAAGGAGAAGATGCTCTTTTTCCCAGGTTTGTGGACAGTTCTGGTTTTGCTGTGACCACTGCTATTTTAGTTTTCTGCAGAGAAAAGAACACAAAGTTTTTAGCATCCTCTCCCAGTTTATTTTTTCCCACCTCTAACATAGTTCCATTGCCTACATCAGGGCTTACAGCTGGACGATCAGAATATGTACGTTTAGGCTGGTGAGTGACCACCAGCACCAACTTATTGGCATCCATCAGCTCAGAGTTACGTGTGTGTGTGTGTGTGTGTGTGTGTGTGTGTGTGTGTGTGTGTGTTGGAAACACTGAAGATCTACCCTCTGGCATGTTTCAGGTATACAGTGTAGTATTAACTGGTCACTGTGCTGTGCATTAGGTTTCCAGAACTTACTCATAGTGGAAAGTTTGTACCCTGGGGCCAGATTTTTCCAGTGTCCCCACCCCTAGCCTCTTTGATCCATCATTCCACTCTGTTAAGAAAACAAAGCTTTATAAC